GGGAGGGGGGGGGGTGGGGGTGGGAAGTAACACACATTTAATAACAAACCGGATAAAGCCATCAAGTTCTTAAAATAACTCCCGCACAGAGAAAGAAATACAAGAATAAAATCACAACAGTTTGGAAGGTTATTACAGCATTTACAGCCAACAAGCTGCAGATCAGCTGCAGCAGTCACGTCTGTGTTGCCTAAGCTCAGAGGAATGGGATGTTTAACGAGCTTTATTACCTGCTGTAATCAGCTGTTCCGCTTGTTTTGGAGAGAAAAACTTCCTGACCGATGAAAACTTAAAACAACAACTTCAGACCCAGTATTTAGCTTAACTTCATCAGCTGTTCACTGTAAACACACCGCTGCACGCTGGCATTCCGAGCAATAGGCCTAGATTTAATGCCGACATACGATCTCAGGCGGCCATCGGTGAGACTTGTGTGGATAACAAACTGGATAAAACCATCAAGTTCTTAAAATATCTCCAGCACAGAGAAAGCAACATGAAATAAAATCAAGATAGTTTGGAAGGTTATTACAACATTTCCAGCCCACAAGAGCTGCAGATCAGCTGGCTGGACTCTTTGTCGCCTGAGCGTTTAAAGCCTAGTTCACACTACATGATTTTTAGCCGGATTTTCCGCTCGGGCGAGCTTGGCGACCGTCAGGCTGTGATTGGGAGTAAATCAGCTGTCGATCAGGGGTCACCAGTCGTTATGTGTGAACTACTCAACGACGCACCAAAACGGCTCCCCAACACATTTCTGACACATCGCCGATGTCGGCCAGATATCTAGCATGCCAAATATCTGGAAGAATTGGCCGACTCGACATCCACATCCAGCCAATGAGAGCAGGCAGCTACTTTTCACCGCAAAACACTTTTTATTCACCTCCAGCTCTCTCTGTAGTTCAGACAATCCCTGCTACCTGCGTGTGCTAATCCATTCTTTCACCCATATTTTTATAATTGAGTCATTCTACGGAAGGGGTGCCATTTGCACTTTCTAATTTTCCAAATTTTCACCAAGACCAAACTTTTTTTGTTTTACTTACTTACTTAAGATATGTTAAACCCCCCAGAAAACATATTTTCCCACCTCATGCACAAAATCATTATTAATATTATCCTTTTTATTTAGACATGGGAGCCATTCTTGTACCACCCTGTCACATGTTTTCCTACTAGTAAATTGTCCTTTTGGTGGAAACCATCAATACAAGTATGTAATTTAATCATTTTTTATTATTCTTAGATTTTCAATCTTGAAATATGAATTCAACAGTGGCCTCATTGTTTGTACAAAAATGCTAATTCACTTAAAAATGTCTAATAAAGTTACATTTATTTGATTAGTCCACAAAACAAGAATTTTATTCAACATTAATTTATGGACCATTTCACTTACTTTCCATTATTTTTTAACAATATATGACCCTGTGAGGGGTGGTAACTGATGGGATGGGATGGACAAACTGTTTCTGTTTGTTGTTTGTTTTAGCCTTCATCTAACATTAGAAACTTTAATTAATTTTGGATATAAATGTAGGTGTGGCTTAATGATAGGCATACAAGATCCTATATATATTAGGGCTGGGCACTTTAACGCGTTAAAGCATTAATTAATTAACGCCGAAAATTATTTTATCGCACATTAACGCAGTTTTAATTTTAGTATTATTAGCTGCACAAGATTTACAATAAATATTTTATTGCTACTGTGTAAAGGGTGCTGCTGGTAAAAAGCACCTTATTTGTTTAAAGTGCTTGCAAACCACATGTTATTACACTTTTGTGTATATAGCAGTACATTTAAATTAAAATTGCGCAATAAACTACTTTAGAATTCATTATTCAATTTTACGCGTAACAATGCGATTAATCGCAAGAAAATCATGTGATTAATCACGATAAAAAATTTTAATCGTTGCCCAGCACTTATATATATATATATAGCCTCCAGGCTTAAAAAAAAGCCTGGAGGCAGGTCATTCTGCTCTTGGCCAATGCTTGGCTTTTTGCTGAAGTAGGCCTACAGTCCAATCACAAGTCATATTTACTCAATAGAGGGATTGGCAGACTGCTCCGGCAATGAAAGACGCGGACAACATATGTGTTCATAAAGCACGGCTCGCTGGACGGGCTGGCTGTCTGTCCAAGCAGTGCATGGATGTGGAGAAGAAAGCTGCAACGGGTTGTAGCTAAGGGTGGTTCATCAGCGCTATGGATGTCTCCTGTGGTGTTGTGTCGGGAGATGCAGTAACAAATCAAGTCAAATCAAGATCTTCGCGACTTGCTTGGATCCCGATCATTGCCACTCGCAGTTAGTATATTTGAACTTTATTTGTCTTATTTCATCAGTACATTATTAATTCAAAGTGGACAGGGTTCACTGCAATCCAAATCCGTACTACAATCAATTAAACTAAATTCAAGTCAGCTTTATCTACAACAACAAACACAGTTACGCTTACTGAGTGGCAGAAAGACGAGCAGCAGTATAGCTTGAATCAGCTAAAACACAGACAACACATCTAAAATGGGAAAGAGCTGGACCACTGGTTCTTTGGTAAGCAGTAAGGATCACTGTCGAGTCCGACTGCCTTTAATTTGAGCAAATAATCACTTGTTTTACTCACGGTTTGCTAAACGCAACCATGCTAAAAGATGTTTTGCCACTCAGTCCAGCGTGTTCCGGAAGGGGAAGTGACATCAGTGCATACTGTTAATAACTGCTGTGTTCGAAACGGAAGGCAGTTGCCTCGCTGCCTCGATACCGTAATAGACAAGTGAAGGCAGCTCTGTTTACATTAGTTTAGAACAGCCTTCTAGGGCAGCACTTTCGGGAACGTGTGACGTCAGCATGCCGTCTTGCCTTAGCATAAGCTAACTAGCTATTGAAAAGCCAAACGGCTAACAGACGCCTCAGAAATCATACTGAACAAACTTGGTTGGTTACAGTCACGGGCTAATTTGATAGTGTTCATTGTTTAGTTCTCGCTAGATTTTCAAAAATCAAAGCGAGAAAACTATTAAAAACCTTTAAAAACGTATATTTGTGTACAAATTCGGCTTGTTTGTCCGCCAACTTGACCAGTTTTCGAAAGCTCCGGCAGCCGCAGACACGCTGCTTTATGGGTAATAGTCAACTTCAAGTCATCATTGATGCTGCCTTCAAAACTGGCCGTTACTGAGGCAGCTTGAAGGCCTCTCAGCAGTTTCGAACAGCACTCTATGCCTCGCTGTCCTGTTAGAGAACTTCTGAGACAGCAGTTTAGCCCGTTCCGAACACAGCCAACATGTTGGAATTAAATGAGAGATCTAGAAATATCATAGCTGGTACAACAGATCGTCCTGTCTAACAAAAACAGTGCATTCAGAGCTCTATTTTTGCATTACGCTGCCGACTGTGCAGGCAGGGGTGTTTCCAGGCTCACTGGGCTTAGCCCAGTCCAGAAATCTTTCACGTTTTCACCTTTTTATTTACAGTCTATGGTTTTCACCCCCCACCCCCTGTTGCCGCCCAAAGTACGCCTGTAAAGCAACAGTAAATGACCTCTACACAGTAACTCTAACATCTGTCTCTTTTTCTGATAATAATTAACACTGATAATATTAACTCGGGTGGGAGTGGGGGTCCTCCCCCTGAAAAGTTTGGGCTTTAAACACTTCTGCATTCTGGTGATTGTTTTTGCACCAATTTATTGAGGAAATATCTGAGGTGACAATTCAAAATAAAATAATTTAGGCGTAATATAATGCAGTAAGGCTGTCAGTCATTCTGTATTGATGTCAGATATGTTTCTCCTGTAGATCCACTTTTCTCTTTTAATTTAATCCCAGCTGAGTCTACATACATGCAGGCATGCCTGAAGTAGCCTAAGGCCTTTTCACCTTAATGATAAATTAGCTTAATTAATTTTAATTTAGTTTAAAAAGAAATATTGATGAAATGTTCAATCAACCCCCCCCCAGACGATTTTGAGCATTAAATACTTAATTTCCTGCATTCTGGAGACATTTTCTGCACCAATTTATGGTGGAAATGTCTTTATTTTTATAAAGGGAAGGGCAAAAGTTGGGTGGCAGGTGACAATTCAGAATATAAAAATATAATAGAATGTAATGCAGTTGCTTATTCCTTTTTTGCCTTAAGTTACTTTCACTGCTGTGCGGCGGCTGTTAACCGTTTGTGATAATACATTGACTAGACACTGACCGACAACATTTATATTTGATTACAATTTTGTAATTCAGAATCCCTGAAGCTGTGAGCAATGCGCTCTCACTCGCTCTCTCTCGTGTTCTTTCTAAATGCAAGTAGTCTGAGTAACGGTGGTTGGTCACATACGTGAACTTCAAACAAAATGTATCAATTATTGCGGGTAGCCTCTGCTCTTTTTAGACCTTAGAGAGAAGCTGCGTCATGAAGATTACTGTATATTAACATGGAAAATATTTTGTTGCTGTTGTTGGGTTACACCATACTTGGGGTTACACTCAAAACATCCGGGGCTAAAGCCCCGGAAAAATGACGTGGCAAAGCCGTTGATAGATATATTCTCCTGACAATTCACCTTGCCTCTTGGTTTGGTAAAGGCACAAACAGGTGGGAGCTTCATTCAAATGTGCCAGTTAAAAGCCAGTTGATGCTTTTTGGTAGGAATTAACATTGTGCTGAGAAAAAGATCGGCTTCTGACACAAAGTCAATCTGCAGACAATGTGGGTTTTTTTGTGTCAGAAAGGGCAACTAATCCAACACCATTATGGCATAATGTTTCAAGGAAAATTTTGGTATTTTTAAACCTGGGCCCTATTTTCACATATTTTAGTGTGGACTACTAGGTACAAAAGATTTTGGAATCAGTGCATGTTAGATGGCCTCAGCTGGCAGCTGTGAACTGGCTGAAACATATTACTTTGAGGCCTGTTAAAATTATACATAAGTGGAAATGGGGCTAATATTTACTTCGGTGACCATGGAGTGAAACAATTGGTCATTTACCGGGGTTCGCGTTCACTTCTCCCACTCAGGACCCACCGCTAGTCTCCAAAAGGGCGAGGCAGTGACAAAACCAACGTGACACTGATACAAAAAATACTCCTGAAAGTGGGTAAGCGATGCTGGACAAATCCAATTCCATGACAAGTAAATAAATGATATAACGTTAGAGCGAACAACTACACAGCAAGTAATGAAACTAACGTTATCTAAGTTGTGGAATAGCAAACTTGCGCTACAGCTGCAGCTGCAGCGAAGCTAACATGCAGAGAGGAGGAGACGTTCCCACGCAGCGATATTTACAACTCTCCCGCTACTATAGCTGAAAACGCAACAACAGCCTTGGCAAACTACAAAGTAACGTTAAGCTCAGTGTCCGTGGGCAAGCCATTTAACGTTACCTGCCTGACATCATAGCTGGATGAGTGTTGGGTGGCGTAGTATGCACATCACTTTGTTTGTCTCCACAGCTGAAGCTGCGTTCTAGGCAACTCGGAAATATCAGATCTCAAACTAGAAAAGTTATTTATTTATTTATTTTTTATTTTGCATAACACAATTCAAAAATTAAAGCCACTTAAAGAAAAAAATACAGATCAGGACTATGCAGTAACAAACAAGGTTCAAATTTCAAGTGCAATCACATACTTCATGAACAGCAAGAAATGTGAAGATTTTACAAAAATATATAAACAAATAATTAAAAGCCATAAATGGAAAAGAAAAATAAGCAACTCAAAATAATGCATTTTAACCTCTGACTGGGGTCCAATTATACTTCAGGCCTATTACTACAGGTTAAGGCTGGTGTGGACAAATTTCCATTTGTAAAAAATCTTCCTAAAACAATTTAGATACTTTACATTGCAAGAGAACATTAGATGTGTAATTGTTTCTATTTCTGTGTTACAGAATGCACACATTCATTAGAGTTAATGTTAAATCTTAGTTGTAAACATTAATTGCAGGGATAAATATTATTCATTGTTTTAAAGTGTACTTCTCTTTAGCTTTAGGTGGCACAGGAAAAGTGAGGTATACTCATCTAACTTTCTTAGAGGTCACAGGGGAAGGAAAACATTTCTTGGTTAGAACTTACATTTCTTATCTAAAAAGTGACATGCTATAATGGACAATGTGAAAAGTCTAGGCACCATCAATGTGTACAATAAGGCTTCCTTAATCACTTGAATGAGGGCTTTTGGGATTTCTCTGATCACAGCACAATATTCTCTATTAGTACATTTTACACTGTGATTACGTCTTAACTCATTGTAGTCCAGTATGTTGCCTCTGTCATCCATTAGATGTTGAATAGACCAGATACACCACTCAAAGTCAGAGTTCCTACTTGTGAACCCTGACTTCACGCAGCTGAATGACATCACACAACAATGGCAGCTACAAAGCATACATTATAAATAGTAAACCATGAAATAAAAGGCAACATAAGGTATGTGTGCTTGTATTTAAATTAAAGTAATACATACCATCATATAGTAAAAGCTGTTCTCTGTTTAAATTGATAGAAGGTAGAAATACAGTGGTGTGAAAATTCTTTTGCATGTTTGTCACACTGAAATATTTTGGTCATCAAACAAACTGAAATATCAGACAAAGATAACACAAGTAAACACAAATTGCATTTTTAAATGAAGGTTTTTATTATTAAGCGAACAAAACCTACATGGCCCTGTGTGAAAAAGTGATTGCCCTCTAAACCTAATAACTGGTTGGCCCACCCTTAGCAGCAACAACTGCAATCAAGCGTTTGTGATAACTGGCAATGAGTCTTTTACAGCACTACACCTACAGCGTTACACCTATCATTGTTTTGGGGGGTGGAGCACTGCCCAATTGAGAGAAGCTTCTGTCTGTGTTCATCAGCATATAGAGGCTGTCAAGTAGTAAACTGTTTGCTGGGGACAATTCACAATACATGTATTGCAACAATTCATTTGTTGTGAATTGTCCCCTATTAAATACCTCCTTCAAGTTCATAACACTTGCACAAAATACTTATTATTTATTCAGGCATCCTTGCACTCTGCTCCATTGCATGGTGTGAGTGTACCTGCATATTACGTCCACCTCCGACATGTACATAACTTATAATAATTTTACTCCTGCATCCTTTGCACTCTGCTCACTGCACTATTTGTCAATATGTCTATATTGTTTGTTTCTGTTTATAGTGTGTACATTTGTGTTCTCTATATTGTAGCCTGTGTCTGATTGTATTATTGCCTTATTGTATTATTATTGTATGAGTAAGGACATCGTGAGCAATGTACAATACAAAGTTAAATTCCTCGCATGTGTACACATAACTGGCGAATAAAACTTATTCTGATAGTATTTTAGGATCCTACTGTTGTATTATGAATGGTCCCCATAAATAATTGCACATATGTTTGAATATTTCTGTATGCATATTTGCATGATACATCAAATTCATTGACTCTTTCTGATGACAAAATGTGTTTAAATTGTAAAACACAGAATTCAGAAAAAATTAAATATAAAATGGAATCTGGCAAAAATTTAAATGGATTTCCTAGGGCCCTATCCATGGTCTCATCGATCAATATGTGATTGTAGCATAACTGTAACAAGCTCCATCAGGAGGCACTAACTGTAGTGGCAGAATAGAGAAGGTGACGAGCCTGAACAGGCAAAAATGAGTGTGCCAACACCACATATCCATAACAGGCCCGCTCTGTGACACTAATAGTTTGAAGTGGTCTACCACTACACCATTACCACTCAATTCCTACAGGAAACACTGGAAATAAATGTGATAATTTGTAACACTAGATTTTGTGGAGACTTGCAGAAATTTGGAATTTAACGTTAACAGTTACTATTAACCAGCATGAATACATCTCAATGAAAAATTTGAAGCAAATCAATTAACTTTTTCATAATGATAGTCATGAGTTGTTTATTTGGATGTCACTATATAATCATTATGTGATGATTCTTGTCATAAAGTTAAAAAGATAGCGTTAGATTCCTTTAAGTTAGAGATGATGGTAGGTATTTAGCTTCCAAAACATTAGTCATGACATAACTGTTGCCTCTTAAGTTAGCGAGTTAATGGATTACTTTTTGGTTACGTTAGGTAATTCCCCACCCCACTATATTGATTTTTGATTTGAGTAACGTTACTGCTAATGAGATTATTGTCTTAAATATCACTGTTTAGAAAGAAAGGCACTTTGATATTTGTTAAAAGTTGTTTATTTCTTTCAGTGATAATTTTGTGTTGTTACTCATTCTAAAATTAGAAAATAAATTTTGAAATAATAAAATCAATGAAAGATGAATTTTTTGAATTGAATTATATTTGAGAGCTGCAGAGACCTGGGAAGCATCCTCAGTGTGTATCTGTTGGGGTGGACTGACGTGGTGAGGCCTTCTCTCCTTTCGTTTACTTTTAAATATTGTCCACTTTTTGTGTCCATTAAAAAAAACTACTGATGGAAAATGTTAGATTTCACATTCTGTCAATACAAAGGACAAGCTAATCATACAACACAGAATATCTTTAATATTAAAGATGAAACATTAAAGCTGGTTAGCACTGTCGCCTCACAGCAAGAAGGTCGTAGGTTCAAACCCCGGTTGCCCCGGCCTTTCTGTGTGGAGTTTGCATGTTCTCCCTGTGTCTGCATGGGTTCTCTCCGGGTACTCCAGCTTCCTCCTACCATCCAAAGACATGCAGTCTAGGTTAATTGGCGACCCTAAATTGTCCTTAGGTGTGAGTGTGAGCGTGAGTGGTTGTTCGTCTATGTGTGGCCCTGTGATGGACTGGCAGCCTGCCCAGGGTGTACCCTGCCTTGTGCCCGATGTCAGCTGGGATTGGCTCCAGCCCCCGCGACCCTGTACGCAGGATAAGCGGTTGACGATGGATGGATGTGACATTAAAGCTGAACTCTTGCTAAGGGAGTATAAGTTGAAAAGCGGAAATACTCCCAAAAATGTTTCATGGTTCACATGAAATATAGAAAAGTAAGTTATTTCTGTGTGTGCAGGTGTATTTTCACATTCTACCTTATAGTTTTACAATAAATTAGGAGCCTTACGCCCAATGCCAGAGCCTGAAAGTTTTGAAGAGCGTCTTATTTGCTGCTCTAGCTTAATTCTAATTGACACACAGAAGAATGTGCTCACGTCTAAACACACATGTTGGTAAGTGCTGAAACTAAGAATGGCCTGCACAGGGTAATTATGAAACCAAGTAGGTGGTCTCATTAATTGTGCTCTGAGGTCTCAGAGGTGACCAATGCACCTGTGGTAAATAGGTGCATCTATACAGTGTAGCCTCCCATTACCCATGCAATACCCACAAGACCTTCTCAGAGGTCACAATAAAGGACACCTCCTACAGCCAGCCTCAAAACTATTTGGTGTGCAAATAATTCTTTGTTTTTTTTGTGAGTGTAACTTCACAGTAAATGTTACATTCATCTCTAGTTTAATTAGAACCAGCATATAACATCAGTTTTTCAGTTTTTACTTTCTTCTTACATACATGCAATATGTTAACCTATACCTAACATCTTAATATTTTCATTTACAGCTGTTAATTATAATATTTTGTTAAGTTTAGATCACGCTTTTTCCAAATAACTTAAGAAACTGATGAATGAAGAATGTGATTTTATTTTAAGCATATTTAGTCTGATCCATGTTATATAAAAAACTAATACACAAGCAATAGTTTACCATTATGAAGCATGTCTTGCATTCATGAAATCAATATTAAAAGTTTACAAAGTTGTTGAGGTGGTGTCCAGCAAACAATGTGGGCTTTTATAGATCATTGGCAGACTTTCTGGGGAAGACCTGGTCTGATTCGGAGAGACGGCATCCATCCCACTTGGGAAGGAGCAGCTCTCATTTCTAGAAATCTGGCCAAGTTTATTAGTGGACCAAATCCATGACAACCCAGAGTTGAGACCAGGAGGCAGAGTCGCAGTCTAACACACTTCTCTGCTCCTCCATTTCAGGAGTTACTTAGTGAAAATCCTATAGTGACGGTGTCTGTCCCCCGACCATCGAAATTATTTAAAAAGGTAACAGAAGAGGAGCTGTGCATAAAAACCTCGTAAAAATTAAAACCACAAGAGCAATAGTGCAAACTGATAGGAAAATTAAATGTGGACTCTTAAACATCAGATCTCTCTCTTCTAAAGGTGTACTAGTAAATTAACTAATATCAGATTATGATATTGAATTATTGTCTTACTGAAACCTGGCTGGGTGATGGAGAATATGTTAGCTTAAATGAATCCACCCCTCCCAGTCATATTAATACTCACATTCCTCGAGGCACAGGCCGAGGAGGTGGAGTTGCAGCTATCTTCAACTCTAGCCTACTAATCAGCT